AATGGCCTCCTGCACATCATGAGGTAGGTCGAAGGACTCCGGGTCGAAGGTGTCACCAACAGGTGTCAGCTGTGCAGGCAGCATGATTGAGGCAGAACAGGCGAGTGTCACCCCAAGACAAGGGAACAAAGCAACCTTTCAACTCTCACAAAGCGAGATGGGACCCAGTGGATGCATCCATCTGACCACCGAGCCCCAGTAGGAATTTCCAGGGCCCTTAGATGCTCTGCTAAGGAATACGCAGGTAAGGTACTGCAAACTGGCTCCCCACACTTCCAACAAACTGCTAAAAGCTGAACCCCCCAGGACATGTACACTCACGGGGACCTAATGGAGGACCACCAATATACAATAGGTATCAACATCAAGGGGCAACCCCCCCCACCTCCACCCGGCAGGAAAAAACAAACAAAAGAAAAACCCTGCAAGAGCACAACGACTCGGGCGGAACAGAGCGGGCCGCTGTATTATAGTGAAAAACAAGCTGCACAGTACCCTGCACCTATACCAGTGACGAAGCTACCTCCTACCCAGAGGCAAACAGGAGAGCATGAAACATCCCAGCTGACTCCATAGGCAGGCAATCACCGAGCAGCAAAAGACCACAGCAGAGGCATGTCCCAAATGATTTGTGGAAAATAACCCCAAGCCACAAGGGCAGTGCTTACAGGGCACCTAGGGAAGAGAACCTTATTCGTATGTAGCCGAGTAAAGGTGAAATTACTCCTGGCTTGCACACCACCACAAGACAGAACCACACCACAAGACACAGCACTGAAACAAAGCTAGAGCCAGAGTTGCACAACCACCAGGTCTCACATCAGCCACAGAACTGAAGGATGAATAGCCGGCACGGGGGTCTGGGGCCCCCCCCCCTTCCCCCTCCCAGGAAGGGGGGAGCTGTGCAGACAGCTGCAGTGATGGATGTGACGTCTATGCTTGTTTGCTGTTTTTCACTTGGAGTTCTGTCCAACAGTTCGGCTTTCAGAAGCCATATTTGAACCAGATTGGATTTGTTTTGGGGTGCCTACCTTTCTGGGTGCCTGACCCAGTCGATGGCAGACAGAATGCTTCTAATCACACAGGGTTTTCTATAGGCCATTGCTCCTCATGCCTCTGAGGGAAAGGGGGCCAGGTTCTGGTTCGTGGTCCCCGGTAGGCCTGGAACTCCATTCGCTTGACTGATGCCAGGGTCTGATACATTCATGTCACCCCAGGTAGCTCCAGGGAGCCAAAGGGGCTCCCCCCAGAAAAGTCTCAAAAATGGTCAGTATACTTTCTAAAATCAGATATTATGTTCCAAACTCTGCTCTCCTCTCATTATACTATGCGCTAATCGACCTCTATCTTACATACAGTACCTGTGCATGGGGTTCAAGCACTGCAAACTACCTCAGACTCATCACTACCCAGCAAAAATTTGCTATCACAACAATAACAAACCATTTTCAGACAACACACAGCCCCCCTCCCCCTGTTTAAATCCCTCAACATGCTAAACAAACTTACTCCACACATTTTCCTGTGCAATTTACATGTACAAAACCTTGTTCCTAAATGCAAATCCTGATTTGAAACTCTTCCTTGACAGATGTAATAGAACCCATAATCACCATACTAGAAATAAATCTCTTTTTGATATCCCCAGAGTCGAACTAAATCTGTGTACACACACTATGCAAATAAAAGGACGTAGTCTATGGAAGTCGCTCCCTAATGAATTAAGAAGCTGTCCAACTTATCCCTTATTTAAAAGTAACACCAAAAAAGTATCTAATTTTATCCTCATAGTTTTCTACCTAGTGCTTCAAACTCGCACTGTATCTTGTGATACTCCAAAATGTGCACCTAAGTCATATAACATCACCATAGTAATCACTGCCATCATCTTATATCATGGTTGTTATGTTCAATGCAAATTTCACTACAATGTATCTAGAAATAATCCTCAAATTATGCTACAATGTACCTGGTGATAATCCTCAAATTTTACTATAATGCACATGCTAATTTTCTTCAAATTCTCTTACAATGTACCTGTTAACTTTTTCAATTTTGCTACAAATTATCTGCTTATAGTTATTTGTTAGAGTAAGGACCTGCCCAAATTGGTGTGCATTTTAGTGGCTCTACAAAAATGTAAAAACACCAATGCTATGTCCTCTCAAAAAACTCAATGTACCTTCCTGTAAGTATCCACTCAATTTAACGGCCTCTTTTATACCGATCTGCCGGTATTAACGACCGGTTTGGGAGACCGGTATTTGGAGCCTGCTATACCGGTCTGTGGTCGATATTACCGACGGTCGGTATTGGGTTTGTTGTGGCATCAGCGTCCCCTCACATGGCGACCAGGCCACCGACCTGGATCGTCCAGAGTCATATATTACATCTTAATTTTCTTTTAAAATGATTCACTTTAATGAAGAAAATTGTAAATTATTATTAATAAAATATTTTGAAACAGTTTTTATTAAGCAAAAGTCTTTGTTTTCTTATTAACACTTTCGCGCTTTAGATTAGAGATAACTCGTCGCCGTTTTTTCTTACGATTCCGCATAACAGCCTACTTTTCTCGTCCATCGAAAAAATATTTCTATAAATTCCATTTTTTAACCGAAATGGATGGGGATACGTTTGTTTTGTAGATAATTTATTTGCGAATTTTTTGGTACCAGAATGAATATTATATCACATAAACTTCTATGAGTAAAAAAAAAAAAATACACAAAGTATGTTTGGGGGTGTGGCGAGCGTGTGGCAGTGGGTTCCCTTTAGCCGTTGATATATCCAACACGTGGGAAATATTTGTATGTGTTATGTATATGTCTATGTAGGGAATTTTACTGCGATCACTGTCATACAAATTATGAAATGTTTCAACAAGTATAAACATGACAAACATCAAACGAACGAAAACAATGCGTTCGTTTCTGCCGCGAACGCATACTGAGCGACGTGGTTCTATATTTGGCGCTTCTCTTACACATGCTTTGTACAAATGTTATACAGTTCATCTTATAGAAAATTTTATTGCGAACACATTGGTATAAAAAAGAAATACGTACATAGAAAAGTAGGGTCAGGAAACCTATAAACTTTCCAAGCATGATTTCCCCCCTGTGTTTTCGCCAGTGCGCTCGCGGCTAACTACTCTCCACTTCACACACTCTTGCGGGTGGGCAATTACCTATATTAAACATTCATATGCATATGTCCGTGTAGAGAATTTTATTGCAATTCCAATGATACCAAAATTAGCGATGTAGGACAACTGTAGGCTTCGCAACCATTAAGAGAGTGGAAACATTTTGTTGCTGTTTGGCGCTCTCGGCGAGTGATCTGCATAGTTTTTTATTTGGTGTTGATCTTATGATTGGGCGGCTTTTTATAGGTATGCTCTTATAGACAATTTCATTGCGAACACAGTGATACCAAATTTAAATACGTGCGCCTTCAATTATTGTCAGGACAGTCAAAAGAGAGTACACTTTTTCGGTCTTACCGCATAGGCGCGCGAAGTGCCGAAAGCATCTGGGGTATTGTTTTTTTTTGAGCGCCGAGAGCGCGAAAGTGTTAAATACCTTTTATAGTATAGGCACTAGGTATTTTTTTTCCCACGGACCTAGAATGTACTCCGCCGGGCCATGTGTTCCCATTGTTTACTGTGAAGTCGCGCGGCTAGCTTCAATTGTGAAGGATATTACTGTACTGTAATTGTGATCTTTTTAATTTACAAAATGCCAAAAGTTACCCAAAGGAAGCGCCTGACGGTTGCACAGAAGCTGGAGTTAATTAAGAAACTTGATAAAGGATATTCTCATGCACGAGCAGCAGCAGAGTTTAACATCGGGAAAAGTACAGTAAGTGACATCAAGAAACAGAAGGATACTATTAAAATATACCTGAAAATAAGTGTACATACAGTATGTACCCTGTATACAATATAAACAATATAAAACAAGCGCTGCAGAGGATGACGTAATCTTCACAGCTTCGTAATCTTCAGCTTCATTAAAAGTAAGTCAATTTACCAATTTTATTATAGTATTACAAGATATTAATTGGTTTTTTTCAACAAAAGCTACATATTAGTCTCTGCAAATGTATATTCTATCGTCAGCAGAGAATAGGTGAGCTCAAAATATTTCGTCTTGGCTAGCTCTCAGTGACAAGGCTCGATCGCCATTGTTATGGCATGGCCGCCACAGCCTGTGTTGTAACATTAAAAATACATTACCTGCACTGTTCAGGGTAAATCAAAACACATCTCTAAAATATTACTGAGAAAATATTAACTTGCTGATTGATACATGAAATATTTTGCAATACAAAGGAATGAATCAATTTTTTCCCACCCATCTGGGCTTGATCAGACCGTGTTCACACATTATCCATGCAGCAGCCAACAACTGGCTTAATCGTCGGTGTGGCACTAAATTGGAATGCAATTACACAATGAACTTTATTTAATTTTAGTTATACAGTATAAAATATATCCTCCCTGAATGTTACTTGAAAAATTACCCGACCCGACTTAACTTCGGAAATAACGGAGCTCCGGAAATAAGGACCAGGGTACAGCCCCATATAGGCCGTTAAATTGAGTGGATACTAATAAATACAAAAAATTTCATGCGAGGAGTTGTGGCAGTATTTACTTATAAAGAGGAGCCTTATGATTAGCCAGTAGTACCACTTTGCCAGAGTTAGCTTAAAATTCTGGGTCCTCTCACCTCCCCATGACTTGGCCTGTGTGTAGGCTTTCACTGACAGGGTAACCTACCTTTGTTTATGAGACATGCTGGCTCATGTTTATAAATTTAATTTTAAAAGATTGAATGAGGCCAAACCACATCAAATATTCCAGGTTATCATTATACATTTAAATATAATATAGGAAGTGTTACAACAGAGCCAAGCACCCATAACAGGAGAGAATACAAGGCGCATGTAACAAAGTGTGTAGCGAGAGCCAGAGGCCCTCAAGTAACACTTACCAAGCATGAACTCGAGGACATTCGCACTGCGTCGTTTGAGCCACAAGCAGTTGTAGTTCCACTCGCCACTGTCAGGATGGAGACGGAGAAGTGAGAGCGGTGAACAGGATACAAGAACACGAAGGGGATTGAGGCAGATTTAAGAAAGAGACGAAGTGTGAAGGGTGAAAAAGGCTGGTATAAGAAAAACTAGAACAATACTTACTCAACCCTAAGAACTCATTTATTCTCCTACTCATAATTTATTACCAGTCCCACATTAGCTTTTATTTTTTGTATCCCACAATGCCCTCACCTAAGCCCCCCTGATCAGGTTCACTCCTTCACCTAAGCTGCTTCCTCTTTCCCTCACCTGAGCTGTGATCCAAGCCGCCCCCCCCCCCCCCCGGAACACTGGTGCTAGTGCCAAACCCTGAGGCACTAACGCAGCCCAGGACATACCAGTGGGTGCGGGTGTACACGATGTAGCGCTCCCCGTCATCCATGTCCTTGACGCAGCGGGCAGTGTACGTGCGGTAGTTATGGTAGTCCTGCGGGTAGAGAAGGTTGGTTTAGGTGGGGGTAGTCCTGCAGATAGAGAAGGTTGGTTTAGGTGGGATAGTCCTGTGGGTAGAGAAGGTTCGTTTAGGTGGGGTAGTCTTGCAGGTAGAAAATGTTGGTTTAGGTGGGGGTAATCCTGCGGGTAGAGAAGGTTGGTTTAGGTTGGGTAGTCCTGCGGGTAGAGAAGGTTGGTTTAGGTGGGGTAGTCCTGCGGGGTAGAAAAGGTTGAATTTCTACCTACAAACTGCTATAAACAAAAAATTATTTCTCCGGCAGCTTTGTTTCGTTAATTTAAATCTATGACCTCGTTCTTTAAGTTCCGGGTCTTGGGAATTCTTCCATATCAGTTTTATTGAGTCCTGTTACTATTTTGTATGTAGTGATCATATCGCCTCTCTTTCTTCTATCTTCTAGTTTTACATATTTAATGTCTCTAACTTCTCCTTGTAGCTCTTGTTTTTCAGTTCTGGGAGCCACATGTCTTTGCACCTTTTCCAGTTTGTTGATGTGCTTCTCAAGATATGGACACCATACAACTGCTGCATATTCCAGCTTTGGTCTAACAAAAGTCGTGAACAATTTTTTTTAGTATTTCTCCATGTATTTAAATAAATTCTGAAGTTCGAAGGTGTAGCATAGGCTCCTAGCACAATGTTCTTAATGTGGTCCTCAGGTGACTGTTTTCTATCTAGAACCACCCCTAGATCCCTTTCTTTGTCAGAATTCTTTAAAGATTTCTCACATAATTTCTTGGTTGTGTGGGGTCTATGTTCTCCAATTCCACATTCCATAACGTGGCATTTATTCACATTAAATTCCATTTGCCAATTGGTGCTCCATATACTTATTTTGTCCAGGTCTTCTTGAAGGGCATGACAATCATCTAGGTTTCTTATCTCCCCCATTATCTTAGCATCGTCAACAAACATGTTCATATAATTCTGTATTCCATCTGGTAGATCATTTATGTAGACAATAAACATCACTGGTGCAAGAATTGAACCCTGTGGTACTCCACTTGTGACATTCCTCCAGTCCGATACATTACCTCTGATTATGGCCCTCATTTTGCTATCAGGAAATTTTTCATCCATGTTAGAAGCATACCTGTCACCCTCTAAAATGTTCATTTCCAGAACAACCTCTTATGTGGAACTCTGTCGAAAGCCTTTTTTAGGTCCAGATAGATGCAGTCAACCATCTCTTTCCTGTAAAATCTCTGTTGCTCGATCATAAAAACTGAGTAAATTTGTTACACAGGATCTTCTAGATCGAAAACCACTGTCTGATATATCATTTTTCTCCAGGTGTTCTACCCATTTAGTATAATTTTTTTCCAATATTTTGACTACAGTATTACACTTGTCAATGATACAGGCCTATAATTGAGGGGGTCTTCCCTGCTGCCACTTTTGTAGATTGGAACTATGTTAGCCTTTTTCCACACATCAGCTACAACTCCTGTACACAGGGATGCCTGAAAATCAGTTGAAGTGGAATGCAGAGCTCAGATGCACATTCTCTCAGAACCCATGGTGAAACTCCATCAGGACCAACTGCTTTGTTCTTTCTTAGCTCCTTGAGCATTTTTTCCACTTCGTCTATAAACATCTCAATGTGCTCTATGTTGTTCTCAGGAATTCTTATTGAAATCTTCAGGGAATCACACATATTTTGTACAAACACACTTTGGAACTTTTCGTTTAATGTTTCACACATTGCCTTTTCATTTCTGTGAATTTATTTCCCATTTCCAACCTCTGAATATTATCCTTTTCCTGCAATTTGTTGTTTATGAATTTATAGAATAAACCTGGTTCTGTTTTACATTTGTTTTACATTTGAACCAATCCTGTTTCCTTGTTCTGCATCTCTGCTTTGGTATAAATCTTGTGCCTTTATCATATCTTTCACAAAACTTGACATACATCTCATTTACTTATGTCCTAACAGCAAGTCTTTCCAGTCAAATTCCTTAAAGAAATGTCTGAATTCCACATTGTTCCCCATTGTTCGACTGACTACCAACTATCATGATCTATCTTTATCAGCTCTCACTATAATCTCTCTATTGTTATAAGGCCCTCTCATTTATTATCCATCTCCTCCTCTGACCATGTGTTGCACGGCGGTGGACTATACAGTATGCATTTATGATTGTTAGTTTATCATCCTGATTGCAGATCTCTAGTGCTATTATGTCAATATCGAGGATTGGCAAATCATTATTTCATTTACCATTAGGTGTTCTTTCACTATCACAGCAACACCACCGCCTTTCCTAATTTTTCTGTCCTGTCTCCAGACTGAGTAGCCCCTTGGAAATATCTCATTTAAAATATTATCTTCAAGTTTTGTCTCCGTGACTGGCAACAATGTCTGATGTCTGCAGCTGTATTACATCACTTAACTCCAGTATCTTTGATCTCACTCCATCTATGTTGGTGTATGCAATTTTCATGAACGTGTTTCCCCTCTCCCTTATTCTTCACTACCCCTTTCTCTAGTGATTTTGTTGGTTTGCATTTTTGTACCATTTTATTGGTCTGCCTACCCCCTATCACTTTGTAGGAAAAAGAATTTATTTCTTCTTCATTCCCGATCTCATTTAGACATTTTGCCTCGACAAGGTTCAGTTTTAGCTTCTGTCTTCTTTTGTGTGGGTGGAGTTCTAGACCTACCGACGTTGGGTGGCTTCTCCTTCGAGGGGTTCAGGGCTGGCAAGGCAGGCCTCTTCTCCTATGCTCTGTCAGGTTGTCTTTGAGTGGGCGCGCTTGGGCATGGTCAAAACGATGATGTCCCTCAGGTGGGTTTCCCACCTGTTTCCAGTTCCGAAATGGGACTGTGCGGACCTGTGCAGTTCATTCTGGACTTGTCCCATCTGAACCCCTGGGTTTTTTACCCCTCCTTTCGGATGACCACCCTGTCCTAGGTTCAGCTTCTGTAGGAGCCGGGCACTTGGATGGTGTCCCTGGACCTCAAGGATGCATATTGGCACATCCCTATTCATCCGGGGCTCAGGGACTGGCTCGGTTTTGTTTTGGGGTATAAGAATTACCACTTTCGTTGTCTCCCTTTCGGGTTGAACCTGCCACCTCACATGTGAGGTGGCACCTGGCACCAGGTGCCACCGGGCACCCTGCCTGGCACGCCTGACCCGGGTCATGGTGACTCATCTGCGTCTGTTAGGTGTTCGGGGTGTTGCCTTACCTCGACTACTGGATGGTTTGGGCTCCCAGTCAGTCCGCCTGTCTCCTCGCCAGGGGTTTGGTGCTTTCCCAATTAGTCAGGTTTGGGTCCCTGGTGACCTAGTTGAAGTCCCATCTGGATCCCTACCATGTTCAGACCTGGCTGGGTCTTGTGTGGGACTCGAACCACTTCCTTGTCTCTCCTTTGGGTGCGGTCTCACATGCGCTTGTTTCTGAAGGCTCCCGGGTCACCCGGAGGTTACTTGAGGGTCTGTGCGGGAGCCTGAACTTTAAGATGATGGTCTACCCGCCGGGTCAGGTTTGGCTTCATCGGCTGTTGTGGTTCCTTTGGGAAGGTCCCTTCCGCCTCTCTCTCGCGATCACTAGGTTCAACCCTCAGGGGTCTGCGTCAGCCGATGCGTCGCCGGCTTCCTCTTTGGGTTTTTTAGGGTTCAGTGCATTGGTGCCTACCCGAGCCCAAACTATGTGTTTACGGACGCGTCGTCTCTTGGCTGGGGCTTTGTGACCAGTGCTCACCAGATCGGCCAGGGGCGGTGGGGTCCATCCTTCCGTTGAGCCCACAGGACAGTGTGGGAGTTCACAGCAGTGTGGTTTGCGCTTCAGAGGGTTCGGGTCACTCATGGATCGACGATTCGGCTTCATTCGGACTGCTCCCCGGTGGTTTCTTCCCGCAACCCTTCAGACACGACAGCCCTCCCAAACATTGTGGGACCTATGCTTGACAAGGAGCCGAGATCGAGGCGCATCGCGGGCCCCTTCGAGGCCCCCCCTTTCACGAACTTCAAGTGTTCACCGATTGCCCTATGGAAGAAGACCACGCAGGGCAAGTACAGACTTCTGCACAACCTCAGCTACCCCTACTCCTCCGATAGTGTGAACGCCAACATCCCTTGAGAAACGACAACGGTGAACTATCAGTCTGTCAACAACACTGTGGCGCTGGTGGTCAGCCGCTCTCCTGGGGCGCACCTGGCAAAGTGTGACGTCACTGAGGCGTTTCGGATTGTCCTGGTCCACCCGAGTGACTACCACCTTCTCGGGTTCTCGTACCAGGGGGGGGGGGGGGGGCAGTACTACTATGAGAAGATGCTCAGTATGGGTACTGTCCCCTTCCTGCAGGATCTTTAAGGCTTTCTCCAGCGCACTGCAATGGATCCTGGCGGAGAAGCTCGGCATCCGGGATGTGGTGAAGGTGCTGGACGACTTCCTTTTTGTGAGCTTGACTGCAGACGGGTGCCTCCGGAGCCTGCGGGTGTTCACTGCACTATGTGAGAGGTTGGGCGTTCCCTTGGCCCCCCACAAGACTGAGGGTCCTAGCACTTGCCTCACCTTCCTAGGCCTGTAGTTCGATGCGTGACGGATGGAAACAAGACTCCCGGAGGACAAGAGGACAAGGTACACAGACGCCGTGGTAGCCGCTTTGGGGGTCGACTGCCTCCCTCTGCGTGACCTGCAGGGGATAATTGGAAAACTCCAGTTTGCCACAGCGGTCATACCGGGGGACCGGGCCTTCCTTCGCCGACTTTACCCGCTCACACAAGGCGTCCAGCGTCCCTTGCGCCACTGCTTAATGGATGCCAAGGCAAAGCTTGACCTTGCCACCTGGCGCTCCTTCCTCATCGACTTCAACGGCGTCATGATCTTTCCCCCAGACGGTGGTTGGGGTTGTGCCCCATCCCTCTCAATGTGTGCGGACGCCTCCTTCAGAGGGTATGACCTCACCCTCAGGGCGGCCTGGTTCTGGGGAACGTGGCCCGCAAGCTGGTGCCGGCTCAACATAG